ACGTGCCATGAGCCATCATGCGCTCACACAGTGCCCCCGCCATGCATCCCGATTGCCGTCCTATCTTCCTCCCCAGGTCAATCCCACTCGCGCATTCACCTCAGACTTCCCCTGCATCTTCTGTTTGGAAACAGTCGAGACCAAGGTCGCTGACTTACAGAATGAACTCATCCCCGTGCACGATTAGACATATGATTATCGTCGCGCGCCTGAACGCACACGGCGGCGCCACGCCGCTGGCAAACCCAACCGATCTCGCAAAATCCATGTGGAACCCCGCCAGTTGCTGGAAGCGTCTCTGGTTCCGCACATAGAAATAAGAAGTCTGCCACAACGCACCTGGCTCGTAGTCCCCCTCGGGAAGCATAACAAATAAGCATGTTCTCGCGGGGGCACATGGGCTCACGATTATCAGCAAAGCGAATTTCCCTTGGTCCGCCCTGCTGGATTCGGCCATCATTTTGCGGCAGCAAAAATCCAATGGAGCGCCACGTCGGTCGCAGGTCGCCAAGTCCACGGAGAGCGCGGGAACGAGACTCATCTTTCCCGCCGCGCCTGTAACTCTGACACGGGAATATGCTTTACTAGCGCGCGCTTGACATACTTGCTGACCTGCGCCGCGGAGTCCAACAGCTCCCCTCGCGTCGTTCAGCTGCGGAACGACGCCCAACTCCGAGCCCATTAACCAATCGACGACGCCTGCTCCACGCCCCAGCACGTTCCATCCCATCCTGGCGACTTCATCCTCGCCGCCGTTAATCAATTTGTGTTTGCGCGCCAGCTGGCCCCCCCTTATCCCGCCCATCAGAACGTCGTTACCTGGCGGGCCTGGGCCCGCGCCCCCGTCGGCGGCGGGCCCCCCCCCCCCACCTCAAACTCTGTCCACCCAGCCCACTCGCCCCAAAGGGGATCGCAAAATTACGCCCCGGCCCCCCCTGCTACCCTTCGCCCCGCGAGTCGTCGCACTCTACCATGCTATTTCTTGCGTTAATCGCATGAGTGGCGCGCTCGTTTTGGAGTTCAACCCGGTCTACAGGGCAGCCCCCCCCCTTGCGGGGCGGCAGCGGCAGCGTCGCGGCACGCGAAATTGGCGCGTGACCGCACTTCCTCTCGTGACCCAAGGCGCGTTAAATCTGGGGGTCCGTTTTTCTCTGGATTGACCGATTGACCCCCTCCCGGTCGGCGACTCCTGGGCGCCCGTCGAAGATGGGCCGCCGTCAATCTCTCATGGATTTCGGGGCCGCCCTGACAAAGGCCACTCCTTGAAGCGCGGCTCACGCGATGCATCTCCTCGCACGTTTGCGCGGCATCCACGACAATCTGGCGCTGGCCCATCTGCGAGGCACTCATCTTTTTAACGCATGCCCCCTGGCGACTAACGGTTTGACCCCCACTGCGGCGCGCCCCGCCGCCGGCAACGACAAACGCGCCACGATCCCGGGTCGAACCTCCAGACTGGCGGCGTCGGGGCCAGGTTGCCATAGCAACCCCGTCACCTCGGCAATCCCGTCGAGATTCCACGATTTCCCACCGCCCCCCTCACGTAAAACCTCGCGCTATACGAGCCCCCGATGAAGTGCCAATAATCGACTCTCGACTTCTGTCGCGCATGCCCACGCAGATACCGCGCCCCCCCTTCGACCGAAACCTCTCGCCCATTGCGGAGAGGAGCCGCCAGGTGCATGAGCGCCCACCAGATTCGGGCAATGTCGTCATAAACTTTCAACCCCGACATCCCCCATGCACCGCCTCGCCGTCGATGCCAACTGCGAACTCGTTAACTCGAAATGCAGCGCGCGCTACCAGCCGAGCCACGACATGGCGGCCCTCGCCGAATTCCGCCCTACAATGTGCATCTAGCGCAAGCTTCAACGTTCTGGCTTGACCTTGCACGGCGAGGACAGCGCGGCCAACAGCGCCGTTGGCCTGAGAATCGCCGACTGGGCTAACTTCGAACCCCTCCCCTAAGGCACTGAAAGCTTTAATCGCGTCTTCGAGAGCAGTAACAAACGGCCCCCCATCACTGTTGAGCTTTACCGCCCTGCGCCAGCAAAGCCGACCACGTCGCGAGCTGCTGTCACCGCGTGGGGCCCAAGCCCTCTTTAGCGCTACTCGGCCCCATGCTAACTTGGCGTCTCTACAGCGCATCGCCACGGCGGGGCCGCCCCCCTCCCCGCCCTGCCTGACCCCGTTCTCTCCAGCGAGCCGCCTGAAAATCGCGGGCGCCACTGGCAATCAAGCCCCCTGCCTCCTCAACCCCTTGCAGCGTTTCGCCCTCCGGCCGCTCCTCCAGCGCAGCTGGGGCGCCCACTCCGGCGAGGCAAATGCGCGGTGTTGTGACTATCTTCTTCTCCTTCTTTACTTGGCCGCACGCTCCAATGGGCCCTCTCTCTCTCTCTCTCTCTCTCTCTCTCTCTCTCTCTCTCTCTCTCTCTCTCTCTCTCTCTCTCTCTCTCTCTCTCTCTCTCTCTCTCTCTCTCTCTCAGGTAACTCGGCCTCCTCGCCGATATACGCAGCATCCTCGACGCCGCTCAGTTCGCCGCGACGACCACCTGCACCCCCCCCATCCATCATTGATCACATTAGTTCCGTCGATATCTCTGGGTCTCACGGGTGGCGGACCGCGCAATAAAGATCGGCCTCGAAAGTTCCCCGCCTCGCAAAATCCCACGACCCCTGCCCGCCCGGAAACACTATGCACTTCGGCGACGACAGCCCCGTCACCTTTGGCGGCCCTAATCATGAGCTGAAAATGTCATTCCTTTCATGAATTGCGGTTTTCTGGCCGCTGCTTGCGCGTTGGATGCAGCTGCGCGGCCTTCCATTGCCATCGCGGTCAAACACTACGCGGTTACCCGATTCCGCTCGCTCACGTAGATACACTCGGTGGCATTTGCGCACATGCAGGGGCTTCGATTATGGTTTTTCTGTCATGCCTCTGACTGTTCCAATCCTCAGGCGCCTCATCGATGGTCGGTGGATCAGCAGAGTTAACCATGTCCATTCGATCGCCCTCGCCCGGTGATCCCCCGAAAGCGCGCCGCCGTGGTTGTCCGTGCACGGCGGCTCCACGCCCCCCCGGCCACTCTGCTTCAATTCGTCGGCCGACGTCGGTAAAGCAACGGCAATATGCCCCTTGCCTCCACACGCGTAGCACTCACGGTCGGTAGCTGAACGAACCATGTGCCACCGTAGCTACCTCGCCCTCGGTTTTGGCTCTTGCCACCGTGTATTCCCTGAAGGCAATTGCACTCAGAGGTTCGGTAACTGCCCTTGCCTTCTGCCCCATTTGCCCCCTTTTCACTCAGTCGTGATCATTGGACTTCCCGACAGTCTCTGGCCAGGTGCCCAAATCCGCCGCACTTGTAAAATTTGACAACCTTGTCCTCTGTAGTTGGTGACCAATTTCCGCAATCATCAACCCATCCTCGGACATCTCGGCCACCTGCGTTGCAGCTCGCGTTGTAACTGGAACCGCCCGAGCCATTGTCAATAATCCCAACGCCCGTGGCGTCACCATCTTTCGCGTCCGCCTCCAACTTCTTACCCTGGCCCAGTCTGAACGTTTAGTGCCGAATTTCTGGTAAGTGTCTGCGTTAAGAACATCCGGCGGAAAGGCCCTTTTGCCATTCGACAAACGAATCACACACATGGTTCATGATCGCGCGGAGGGCAGTGACTCTGAAGGGCAGGGGCAGCGTGCACGATACCCCCATATTTTTCGAACGCCTGCACCAAAGCACTCCATTCTTCTAACTTGACCAATACTTATTTAACTCGTTCGGGCTGCTCGGGGCCAATTGCGTGGTACATTTTTTGCGCCAACGCACATCCCGTGAAAGCCGGGTAATACGTGCCGATGCCTGATATGCGACAAGTCCATCTCCGACGGTTAATCCCTTGAGTTGCCATTTGCGCTGGGTCCCTCAAACTTTGCGTGAAGGACGTGCTGGCGATCCTCATCGAGTTTGTTCATGTCGTCGTCGGTAAATTCCAACTCTCCTTCATCATCATCTTGCTGCTGTCTGGCCATGCTGGCCTTCTGGTCCTCGGCGTGTGTTCATCGCCCACTTAGAATTCGTAACAAGTCCCGCGAAACCCCTTCAGTGATGATTCCATCCATTGTCTCCAATTTCTTGTTTCGGGACTTGACTGCTCCACGGTGGTTAAGCCGCACCTGTGCCAGTGCATTGAGTAGCCTGTCGTCCCACTCCCTGAACTTAGCTTCGTCGCCGGTAAAAAGCCTTTAGGTTGTGTTAGGGTCTTGAATTCACTGATAGGACGGCTGTTGCCGCCTCCTCCTTTTTCCTCAGCCCTTATTGAGGGCATCGCTTAATTTGGAGATCCACCAACGTGTCATCATGTGTCTTCGTGCTCGCCGCGATGCTCTCAACCTGTCAGTAAAGATTGCGCGTTTCTCGTTCCACCACAGAGCTTCGGTTAACGGCACTCATCAGCATGGCATTCATTTTCTGCTGCGTGCGTAGTATGTCGAAGGCTTCTTGCTGGGTGATCCCCGTGGGGTCCGTGGAGATGCGGTCGTTAATGAAATCCCTGATTCCCTCATCGGTGGCATGAAGTGCTGTCTTCACAGAATCAAAATGTCCATCAATTGTTGACGATACACACCTGTCCATTGACCTCTGGGCATCCAGTCTAATCCAAGCCTCCCAATCCGCAGGTACGCGGAATTCAATGGGTGGGTCCTGTGGGCCTGGGGCAAAGGCAGCTGATCCAAATCCTGCCATTGTATCCGGCGTTCCGCTACCGTGCAAAATATACAGGAAGATTCAACATAGTACCGCGCGTTTGATTTTACACAACGCTCGGATCAGTCAGCCTTCCGAACGTTGAAAGTTTGAGCCAAACGGCGTTGGTAACAACGAACGTCTGACATTAACTCTGTGCTACCTGCTTCCCCATTTGCCGTTGCATGCTTTAATACTTCCTCCTCCTCCTCCTCCTCCTCCTCCTCCTCCTCCTCCTGTCCAGTGCCCGTACCTCCCTGCGCTGCCCTCAGCCCACCTCGTGATAGTCTGGCCGACGGCCCGCCTCAAAGCGCCCCCGCATGCAGAGGAAAGTGCGCGACGCGTCGTCGCCACGTTTCAGTGGCGAGGCACTAGCGCGGGTGCAACATGTTAAGGCAACAGACGTTGCAGATCCTTCCCGCGAAGCAGCAGACGGCGGGCATGAACCCCTTCGCCGCGCTTGGGGCAAACGCTATAAAAGACTTCCCTGGCAAATGGCCCAATCATATGCAACCGTGAGTACAGCGTTGTGGGCACCGCTTTCGGTGGATCTCCCTATGGGGCCAAGAAACGTGCGGGGAACCGCATGTGGACCATGCCACTGGGGCCTTCGGTAAAGCTCCCTACGGGGCCACGAAGCGTGTGAGGAATGTGCCAAAATAGGCGGGGAACCGCGTGCGAACCCTGTCACTGAGACCTTCGGAGAAGCTCCCAATGGGGCCACGAAGCGTGTGAGGGGTGTGCCCAAATGGGTGGGGAACCGCACGTGGGCCCTGCCACTGGGGCCTTCAGAAGAGTTCCCTAAGGAGCCACGAAAAGTGCGAGGTGTGTGCCCAAACGGTCTGGGAACCACATGTGAACCGTGCCACTGGGGCCTTCGGTGGAGCTCCCTGGCCACGAAGCGTGGGAGGGGTGTGCCAACATGAGTGGGGAAGCGCATGTAGACCCTGCCACTGGGGCATTCGGTAGAGCTCCGCATGTGGCCACGAAACATTTGAGGAGTGCACCAAATGGGTGGGGGACAGCGTGTGGACCCCGTCACTGGAGCCTTCGGTGGAGTTCCCTATGGGGCCACGAAGCGTGCGATGGGTGTGCCCGAGATGGGCGGGGAATCGCATGCGATCTTTGCCACTGGGGCCTTCGGTGGAGCTCCCAGTGGGGCCACGAAGCGTGAGGGGTGTGCCGAGATGGGCCGGGTAACGCATGTGGACCCTGCCACTGGGACCTTCGGTGAAGTTCCTTACAGGTCCACGAAACGTGTGAGAGGTGTGCCGAAACGTGGCTGGTGCGAAGGGCAGAGGCAGGGATGCGAGGATGGAGGGGGAGGAGGAGGGAGTGAGGATCGCGTGGACTGTCTCTCCAAAACGAGAACCCAACACCACAGGATGGTTGGAAATAAACTATGTACAAAATAAAAAAATGAGACACATTGGCGCCGTGCGCGAGCATCTTATGCAGTCAGTAAGTTGACCGTAGTGACGCTCGCTGGCGACCCTGCCCATGCTCGGGGCAGCAAGAGGAAGGCGATGAGGAGAAGAGGTGATGCGGAGGAGGGCCGAGGAGAGAGGCAGACGAGGAGGGAGGCGGAGGTGGGGGGGGCCGCCGCTGCCATCGTCCTCCCCCTCCCGCGCGGGGCTGGACACTTCGGCTGCTGCGAAAACCTGGCGGCGAGCGAGGGGGAAGTGAGAAGGAGAAGGCCTTCTCAGGAGGTACGGAAGTCTCCCGGCCTTCTGAGAAGTTTTTGTTAGCCCTTCCCCGAAGACAAAAAGCGTATCAGACGGCGCGAGAGCTTCTGAGAAGCTCCGCCGCCTTCTGAGAAGGCCTTTTCCTTCTCATTTCCCCCCCTCGCTCGCCGCCCAAAACGTCATCCGCGCACGCTCACGATCGTGACTGGTAATTAGTGCCTGCACGAGCATCCAAGACCCCCAGGCAAGGAAGAGAGCGCTCAGCGCCTGCCAGGCACGGGCGCGGGACCGTGAAACTGACGCAGCATGCCTCTCGGGCGAGTGGCTCTGGCTGAGCTCGCCAGCGATTGTGTAGTCAAAAGGAAGGGCGCCAGAGGCGCCTGCGAAGGATCCCAGCGCGGATCCATAAATTCCGCGCGGATCGCTGACAAATTCTGCTCATGGCGAGCTTTCTTCTTCGATGCAAGGACCTTGGAGCGCCACGTTAACGAGCTTCGAGCGAGGCTGGCCACCGAAAGCGGCCAGGGATGGGCCGAAGGGGCAATGATGCCAGGGCAACATTAAGAAAGTCGCTCATCCTCACGATGCGGGTTTTCGAGAACCGACAACAGACAATTCACTAATCGACGTGTCAGTGTGTGGGTTCTGTCCACCGCCAATATTCTTCATGCTCACCTAGCGACTCCCAGCCGGGTAGTACGACCGACCACGCGACCTCAGAGCGGCCCCGAGTGCTGCCGAGGGCGACCCTGGCGGCGGGGCTGGCGGCGCCGACTGCCCGCAGGCCCCACGGCGCAACTCCCTGGAGACAGCGCCCGCCCAGCTGCTGGGGCTGTCAGCAGCACCTTCGTTTCCGGCGCCTCCTGCCGGAGCCCTCGGAGCCGCCCCCAAACCGAGGCGGTCCTCCTCTGAACGAGCGCGTTCCACTACCCGCACAGTGACTGCTCGCAAATGGCCTGGATCCGCCGCGGGGGATCTACGAGAAATCATATCGAATCAGACACGTGTTTTCCGGGCGCTTGCGAGTAGGCACTCTGCGAGTGGAGGAACTCGCTCGGTGCTCCTCGTGGCGCGGGCGGCGCTGCCTCACGCCAAGCTCCCAGGGCGAGCTCGCCGCCTGCCGGGCGGCGGCGGCCTTCTGCTCCCAGTACGCCACGGACCGGAGGCGCCTGGGGGCACCCCTCGGTGGCGCTGCGGCTCGCGCAGGAGCCCCCCTCGGCGCCAGCGTCGCAGGCCCCCTCCCGGGGTGCCCGTCTCCGAGTGCGGCCGTCTCGCGGAGCACCGCCTCGAGGAGCGCGGGCTCGTCGCCGTCCTTCGGCGAGGCGGTGGCGCCCAAAATCTCCTCGAACGCGTCGGCATCCTGGTCGTCGCCAAAGGCGCACAGCTCTGCCGTGGGGCATCGCGTGGGGACCGAGCTGAGCCCGCCCGACTCGGGGCACACCGCCTTGCACTTCCCTTGCTCGGCGAGAGCCGCCTCACCATCTTGAAACATCGCGCGCGGGCTGAACATGCTGGTGGGGTGCTGGACAGCTGGCAGCCACACAGAGTCGACTTGGAGACCTCCCTTACGCAAAAGGTGGTTCCAGCGAAACTGCTGCGCACAGCGACAACGACGCAGGGAGGAGGGGGAGGAGCAGCAGCAGCAGCAGCAGAAAGAGGAAAGCAATCAGGGACAAGTTGGCCATCGTGCTGCCACGACGACTTCAAGGTCCGGTTGAAGGACGGAGAAAATTACCCTGTGACGTACCGAACCCTTTCTATACATGTGGCGAATATACTCAGGACCACTCAATGCTGACTCGCATTCTGAAGGACCCGCAATGCGCAGAAAAAGCACCAACAATGCTTTCAGAAGAGCGCAGCAAGAAGTGCCGTGGAGATCCGCGTATGACGTACCTCCGCTGGGCCTCGCAGGAGCCCACGAAAGTGGCGACAATTGCACAGATCGCAGCCCCCAGGGGCGGCGAGGTCCCGTAGTGATCCGCGTATGACGTACCTCCGCTGGGCCTCCCAGGAGCCCACGAAAGTGGCGACAACTGCGCAGATCGCAAGCCCCCCAGGGGCGGCGAGGTCCCGTGGTGATCCGCGTATGACGTACCTCCGCTGGGCCTCCCAGGAGCCCACGAAAGTGGCGACAGTTCCGCAGATCGCAAGCCCCCCAGGGGGCGGCGAGGTCCCCTGGTGATCCGCTGTGGGACCTACCTCCGCTGAGCCTCCCAGGAGCCCACGAACGAACATGGCGACAATTCCGCAGATCGCAAACCCCCCAGGGGGCGGCGAGGTACCGAGGTAATCCGCGTGGGATGTACCTCCGCTGGGCCTCCCAGGGGCCCACGAAAGTGGCGACAATTGCGCAGATCGCAAGCCCCCCAGGGGGCGGCGAGGTCCCGTGGTGATCCGCTGTGGGATGTACCTCCGCTGGGCCTCCCAGGAGCCCACGAAAGTGGCGACAATTGCACAGATCGCAAGCCCCCCAGGGGGCGGCGAGGTCCCGAGGTGATCCGCGTATGACGTACCTCCGCTGGGCCTCCCAGGAGCCCACGAAAGTGGCGACAGTTGCGCAGATCGCAAGCCCCCCAGGGGGTGGCGAGGTCCCGAGGTGATCCGCGTATGACGTACCTCCGCTGGGCCTCCCAGGAGCCCAGGAAAGTGGCGACAGTTGCGCAGATCGCAGCCCGACGGCACGAGGGAAGAGGAGAGGGGAACACCGGAAACAGGAGAGAAGGAGGAGGGGAGGAGAGGGGAGGAGAGGGGACGAGAGGGGAGGAGAAGAAAGGAAGGACGGGACGACCACACTGCTCTGTTCAAAACGAGTACCCAACACAGGAGGGCTGGGAAAGAGATCCTACGCGGGGCGGCACGGCGGCCTCCCGTGGCGGCTTACGCGGGCCGCCAGTGCGACACCGCCCAGTGGAAACGCAGTGCAGTGCCACTTGGACGGACCTCGGTTTCACCAAAAAAATCTCCCAACCTGGCCGCCAAGATGCCCCCAAGACGGCCAAAATGGCCCAAGAGGGCCTGCAAGATGGCCCCAATTCGTCTCCAAGATGGCCTAAATGGTCCCAAGACGTCCCAAGATACCCTCCAGACGGTCCAAGAGGCCCCTCAGACGCCCCAAGAGGGCTCCAAAAGGAGCTCCAAGGAGACCAAAATCTGTGACTGGCATGATACTCTTTTTTGTGATTCTAGCTTTCTCGCCTTTTCGGTCTTCCGACGCTCCACGGCGGGCCGATAGGCCACAAAGATCGCGCCATGACGGCCCAAGAGGCCCCCAAGAGGCCCCCAAGAGGCCCACTGGACGGCCCAAGTCAACCCGAGGGGCCGGGACCTCCAAGACGATCCTACAATCCTCAAAGAGGAAGAGACCTACAACTGCCTAGCTCCGAGATGGCTCCAGGAGGACCTCCGCGGGCCGAAATCTGCGGGGCTCCTAAGACTATTTGATGTTGACGTTCTCGTCTTTTCGAGCAACGGGCGTTCCAAGACGGGCCCATGGGCCCCCGAGACCGCCCCAAGAACGCCCCAAGAGGCTTCCAAGAGACCCGCAAGACGACCAAAGGAGGCCCCAAGACAGCCCAAGAGTCGGCAGCAAGCGAGGGGGGGAAGTGAGAAGGAGAAGGCCTTCTCAAAAAGGTTCGGAAGTCCCCCTGGCCTTCTGAGAAGTTTTGTGATGCTTCCCCGAAGGCAGAAAAAACGTCTCAGAAGGCGCGAGGGCTTCTGAGAAGTCCCACCGCCTTCTGAGAAGGCATTCTCCTTCTCATTTCCCCCCCTCGCTCGCCGCCTGGGGAGGCCCCTAAGAGGGCCTCAGGACGGCCACAGCGACCTCCAGGACCGCCCTGAAACGCCCCAAAGAGAGGACACGCTACCGCCCAGGGACAGCCGAAAACGGCCTCCCGAAGGCCAAGAGGCACCCTTAGACGCCCTTGGAGGGCCCCAAGAGGACCTCAAGAAAGCCAAAATCCCTGATTTGCCCTATATGCTGCAATGGCGCCAGCGTTCTCGCATTTTCCGGCTTCCGACGCTCCAAGACAGCCCAGAGGTCCCCGAGATCGCCTCAAGGCGGCGAAAGAGGCCCCCGAGAGGCCCGCGAGACGGCCAAAGAGGGCCCAAAGAAAGCCCAAGAGGCCCCCGAAGACGGCCTCCTCTTTTTTTCGGGGCGCAACATGAAGCAACCTCGAGTTGCGAAAACCGCAAATTCGACTCTGAGCCATAATCGTTATTTGGAATCCTTGGGCCTATATGAGGGGCGACGCGACAAGCGTACGATGGTTAATTTCTACTCACCAGGACGACCTACTTGGAAGGTTAGTCTAAAGTTACATATATGTTCCAGCGTGCCAATGGACTCTAGGCAGTCTCCCGCATCACAAGGCAAGGAGCAGAAAGCAAATGGTAGAACCAGACGGGCAGATCGGTTGGGCAGACCAATAGCTGACAGGTCGGAAGGCGGGCCCAGGCGACCAGGTCGAGCAGGCGGGTTACTGAAGCATGGGTCCTGCATGAATCGCGAGGAAGCTTCAAGCGATAGCGCGATTCCCAAGTAGATCGCGAGAACAACCACAACGAAAGCGTGATTCCTGAGCGCCGAAGGCACGTCGTCGAATTAAATCCCACCAGCCCTTTGGGCGTGAGTGGTTTAGCGAGCTTTCTCTGTCCTCAACCCCCCAAACCCCCCTTCTTCCCCTTCGGGGAGGGGTTTACCCCTCCCCCTACCCCCCCCCCCCAATGGACCTGGAGAGGGGGCGCCGCGGGTGGTTGGAGGGGTCTTTTTTTCGACTCCTGGGAGGGCCAAAAAACAACGACCATCACGAGGATTCTGGCCCCGAGGGGGGGGAGGGAGTTTGGCGCCTGAACTCGTCGTTGAAGTAAAAAAACAGTGATTTTACTACGGTGTTGGTCCCCTTTTGGCCTTCTGAGGGGGCCGCGTTCCTCTTCCTTCTTAGCAAAATCATTGATGTTACGAAGGTTTTGGGCTGATTTTGTCCTTCTCAGGGGCCAGCGCTTACTAGCGCTTCTGAGGAGGCCGCAAGAGACCCCAAGATAGCCCCAAGAGGCCCCCAGGAGGCTCCCAAGAGGCCTCCAGGAGGCCCCAAGAGGCCCCCCAGAGGCCCCTGGAGGTCCCCTCGAGGCTCCCAAGAGGCCCCCAAGAGGCCCCAAGAGGCTCCAAGAGGCCCCCAAGACGCCCCCAAGACGCCCCCAAGAGGCCCCCCAGACGCCCCAAGAGCTCCAAGAGGCCCCCAACAAGCCCAACGAGGAGCCCGAACGACTCACACCAGGACGACAGACCCCAACGACTCACACCACGAGGAGCCCGAACGAGTCACACCACAAGGAAGGGCCCGAACGCCTCACACCAAGACGAAGCGCCCGAACGACTCACACCACGAGGAGCCCGAACGACTCACACCACGACGCGGGCCCCGAACGACACACACCACGAGGAGCCCGAACGAGTTACACCAGGAGGAGGGGACCGAACGACTCACACACAAGGAGGGGACTCACACCACGAGGAGCCCGAACGACGCACACACAACGAGGGGCCCGAAGGAGTTACAAAGGAAGGACGAGGGGCCCCAACGACTCATACCACGAAGAGCTGGAACGACTCACATATCTGCAACGCACACAGACGCGAACACTCGCATTATTTCTGGCGCGCCTGCATGTCCTCGAGCGATAGCCGCCACAACGTTGCTACAACGAGGGCGGGGCCAATGGGACAAGGCGTGAAACATGCATCATAACAACAAGTGGCCAATTTAATCTACTCTACGGGGCCACTTGGGGAAGGAGTGCAATATGCATCACAACAACACGTGGCCGATATAATCTACTCTACGTTTCGGCCCCATTTCGGCGCTCGGAGGGAACAGCGCTTCTCTGCCTTCATGAAACAAACATTGATTGTACAAAAATCTTGGGTTATCCTGTCCTTCTCCGGGGGCATCGCTCGCTCGCGCTTCGAAGGATCGCTCGAGGCTCCAAGCTGGCCCCAAAGGCCCCCAGGAGGCTCCACAGAGGCTTCCAAGATGCCCCCAAGAACCTCCCAAAAGGACCCCAGAGGCTCCCAAGAGGTCCCCAAGAGGCTCCATGACGCCCCAGGAGGCTCCCAAGAGGGCCTCCAGAGGTCCCCACGAGGCCCTCAGGAAGCTCAACATGAAGCGAGAGTGCCGGCAACCAATATTCTGCGCGCTCGCTTCCAGGAGCCCCCGTGGCAAGCAAAAGTACAACAAAGCACAGGCGCTTCTCCATGCCAACCGCAAAGATGATGCTAGTAGGCGGAGACTATTACGGGTAGGCGGAGCGAAGCTCACAGCCACACTCCAATACTAGAAGCCGGAGTGGCAACGACAACAACGCTGGTCGGGAAAGAACGCTGGTTTCGACGACGGCCGCCCTCTGTCTTGCCTCCCAACTCATTCCCGCCCGCCTCCTCTTCCGACTCCTCCTGCTTCGGACCATAGAATACACGTACAGGGAAACAGACACATGCTTGCACCAGACAACTGTCGGCATGCTTCGCTGGCGTTCCTCGTCGGCGATGGCACTACCACCACTGCGTCTACATTTACTACAACGACTACTACGACTACTACGACGACTCCTACTATTACTACTCCCACTACTACTTCTACTGCTACTACGAGGTCTACTACAACTACTGTTGCTACTACTCATCGTACTACTGCTGCTCTGCCTCCTAATCCTACTACTACTACTGCAAGCACTACTCCTTCTACCACG